TGGCAGTGATGATAAAAGGGCAGCGAAGGGCCGAGAGCCCAGCATGCGTGGAGTTTCCCAGCGGCTGGCCTGCCCTCTCTCAGCTCAAGCCGTCTTCAAGGGAAGCACACAGTTAATTACTATTTTGCTTAAAACGTTGATTTTTATAAGTAATCCTTATGGGATAGCATCTCTGGCTTATGTCTTAGCTGGCTTAGCAGTTTTTTTTGGCCAGAACTCTTATCTTGCTGTTTATTTACTCAACTAAGGGATTCTCTGCAGCCCTTGGGGAAAGCGAGTTATGATGATTATTTATCAGTCGACAGTTTATCAAGTGCCTGCTCGTCTTCCAAGACTTGGCTCAGGAGGCCTCTCTCAGGGAGCAGCTGGTGCCCCTGGGCTCTTGCGGGCTCTGTGTGCCTCCTGGCTGGTGTCCACCGGCAACACATACCTGCCAGCCTTTATCTGTTTGCATCAGCATCTCCAGTCGCATCGTCTTTCCAGTCCCACGCGGTGTGCAGTCTGGCATGTAGAGATGCTTGATAAATGCCTGGCCAAGGGGGGCTGGAAGGAAACAGGAAAACACAGACGACCAACAGCCCTCCTTCCCATGCTGGGCACCCCAAATTTTATTATTGCACAACCGTCAGTAAAAGTTCCCAAGCACCTGCCTCCCACAGTGCATTCTACTTATTTGCGATGTGCACACGTGTGTTCTTCTGCTCAGGTGTGCTCTCAGTGTGCTGGAGGTTGGGTGCCAGGTTCTGCTCCTACAGCAGGTGCCTGCTTCTATTATGAACACACAGCACACCTCGCTGAGGCCCGGAGCCTGGTGGAAGACTTGCAGTGACAACACTGATACCTCTTTCCATCTCATCCACCACTTACAACAATACTTTTGTTCGTGTTGGTTATTAACTTTCTATCTTCCCTGATAACACTCAGTAGATTTTGTGAACTAACTGGACAGTGTTGCATTTTTATAGCTAACCAGATGAATTCAAAGCAGGTTAAAAACATTTTTCCAAGTTTTGGGTTTTTTTTTTGGCTGAGGAAGATTAGCCCTGACCTAACATCTGTGCCAATCTTCCTCTTTTTTGCTGAGGAAGATTGGCCCTGGGCTAACATCTGTGCCCATCTTCCTCACTTTATGTGGGATGCCTGCCACAGCATGGCTTCACAAGCAGTGCATCGGTCCGCACCAGGGAACCGAACCCCCAAACCCCGGGCCGCTGAAGCAGAGTGCTCAAACTTAACCACTAGGCCACCAGGCCGGCTCCTGCATCTGATTCTATTAAAACACCATGAGCTACTCTCTCATTCATTGCTAAGAGGCCGTCTTCATTTGAACAATAGATCGAGTTCATTAAACAAATTCAGTAGGTAGCGTATCACCGAGACCGTCCAGTTTGGCACTGTCTTCTTATAGAGGAAAGACTTTAAGAATAGCAATTCTCAGGGCCAGCGCCCTGGCTTAGCGGTTAAGTGCGCGTGCTCCACTACTGGCGGCCCGGGTTCGCATCCCGGGCGCGCACCGACGCACCGCTTGTCCAGCCATGCTGAGGCCGCGTCCCACATACAGCAACTAGCAGGACGTGCAGCTATGACATACAACTATCTACTGGGGCTTTGGGGAGGAAAAAAAAAGGAGGAGGATTGGCAATAGATGTTAGCTCAGGGCTGATCTTCCTCCCCCCGCTCCCCCAAAAAAAGAAGAATAGCAATTCTCTTAAGCACTACGTCACTAGCAGCGGATCTGTCTTTGAACGGGGCAGATAAGTGGTTAAATTCCAGTGAAGACACTTCTGGTGAAATAATATAAATGTGGAGATGCTGAGAGAAGCCGATGTTAATAAGAAACATTTGTATGATGCTTTGTAGTGTGTTGAGGTTCACAAAATCACCTCATTAGACTGACAAAGGCACATCCCAAAATGCTCACACTGTTTAGACCCTGAATATCTAACTTAGGGCAATAAATGCAGAAACTAACTTTTTTTGCACACAGTTGTGTATGTCACGTTTATCATAGTATGATGGGGGCTGGTTGAGTGAACATGGCAAATTCGTGTCCATTGCCTGGAATACCAGGCTCTGATTAATAATTGGACTTAAGAAGGCCCTTTAGAGGTAGGGGAAGTAATTATTTTGAAACACCTCATGAGAAAGCTGTGCCTGCACAGCGTAATGAGGCTGCATTACCAACACAGCCAGACCGTGCACCAGAAAACTACCGGTTCCCTGCTTGACAAAAGATCAACAGTGTTCAGCTGAGGAGACCAAATGGATCCTTTTACCACTTATTTACTCCATTTTATAAATTTTCTATAATGTGTTTTTATTAAGTAGGATGATACATTTTGAATAGTGATTGATGTATTTGATATAATTGATATATTTGATATAATTGATATATTTCAAATATATTTTGAATTTTTTTACTTTAAATATGTATATGACAACAATGAGATATACTATACACCTGTTAGAATGGCCAAAATCTGGGACACTGACACCAAATGCTAGAGAGGATGAGGGACAAAAGGAGTGCTCGTTCATTGCTGGTGGGAAGGCAAAATGGTACAGCCACTTTGGGAGACAGTCTAGCAGTTTCTTACAAAGCTAAATATAGTCTTACCATACGATCTAGCAATCATGCTCCTTGGTATTTACCCAAGTGAGTTGAGAACTCGTGTCCAAACAAAACACACATACAAATGTTTTGAGCTGTTTTATCCATAACCAGAAAAACTTGGAAGCAAACAAGATGCCCTTCAGTAGGTGAATAGCTAAACTGTAGTACATCCAGACAACGGAATATTATTCAGTGATAAAAAGAAATGAACTATCTTGCCATGAAAAGACATGAGGAACTTTAAATACATATTGCTGAGTGGAAGAAGCCAGTCTGAAAAGGCTACGTGATGTATGATTCCAATTATATGACATTCTGGAGAAGGCAGAACTATGGAGACAACGAAAAGACCAGTGGTTTCGGGAGGGTGGGGTGGAGGTGAGTAGGCAGAGTACAGAGGGTGGTTAGGGCAGTGAGACTGCGGTAGTGCGTGGTGGGTACAGGACTCATGCATTTGGCAGAGCTCACAGAATGGACAACGCAGTGAACCGTAATGTAAACTACGGGCTTTAGTTAATGATGACGTGTCCATGTTGGTTCGTCAGTCGTAACAAACGGGGCACCCAGTGCAGGACGGTAATAACGGGGCGATCGGGTGAGGAGTGGGAGTATGGGAGTACGGGAACTCTCTGGGCTTTCTGCTCAACGTTTCTCTACACCTAAAACTGCTCTATAAAAATTAAATTTTTAAAATCTGTATGTGGCCATCATAAGGCAATGTGAAAATATGAAAAGACAGAAACGAAGAGAGTCTGGATAGGATCTGGCAGAGTGCATCCAGAACTAGCCTGTCTGTTCCTAGTAAAGCAGCCGGATGAGTACATGGAAATGGAAGTCAGAGCATGCCCCTCCTCTGCTCCATACTCAGTGTGGGCTTCCTCACTCAGAGTGAAAACCTGAGTGATCACCATGCCTCTGCCTCTCTGCCCACCCTGCCCACATATCCTCATCTCTGCCCCTCCCCGTATCCCCTCTGGCCTCCCTGATCTCCTTGCAGCTTCTGGAATACACTGGGTAGGCATCTGCCTCAGGGCCTTTGTACTTCCTCTGCCCCTCACTGGCCCACCTGGCTTCTGTCTTCACCTCCTGCAGGCTGTCACCCATGTACCCCTTCCCAGTGAAGACCCTCCTCCCAGTTCTCAATCCCCTTCCCTGAATTACTTTTCTCCCTTGTGCCCACCAACCTATAACACAAAGCAAATAAACATGAAAAGTGTGCCCGTGTGTCTTCCCGGCCTGGGAGTATGGTCCCTGAAGGCTGGCCTCTGTCTCTTTGGTCACTGCTCTGTCCCTAAAAGCTAGAACATGCTTGGCATCTGGTCAACCACATAAAGGTTTGCTGACTGAATGACTATAGCGTGTAGACATAGAAGTGGTTTTGCAACCTGTTTGCTTACTGAACATACTGTGAGCTGCCCCCTTGGCACTGGGTGTTCTTCCTTGACATGGTCCTACTGGCTGTTTAACATCTCACTGAACGGATGCGCCATCCTTTATATGACTGTTCGCCTTTAGCTGATATTTCTAGTTTCCCACCATAAACCTTTATCTTAAGGCATTGGGCACGTGGATGAATTACAGGAAGGGAAATACCAGATCAAAAGTTGCAAATTATATGAAGGTTTTTAAAACATATTTCCAAATTGCTTTCCAGAACTGGCCAAGCTAGGTCTCCACCATCAATATAAGATGGTATCTGCAAAATGTTTCTTAGAAACCACAATTATTTGAGGGAGTGAGGATTCCATTAAAAAAAAAAAAAAGCTTTACAGAAAAGTCATATACAGAAGCAAACTTCCCAATGCCGGAAAAGACAAGCTGGCCTCCAAGTTTGGAGCCTGACTCCTTGCATGGAGCTACGCAAGCTGAGATGGATGTTGAGTTCTTCCACTGCTGCTCTGGCCCGTCAGGTGGCCAGCCTGACTGCTCAGGGCCAAGCTAAGCCTCATGGGCTCTGGAAACCCCTCTCTGCCCTGGCCCCTAGCCGCCCCTCCTCTGCACACACCTCCCGCATTCCTTATGTGCCCCTCCCTGGGTCCTCAGCAGCAATCGCCCACTTTTCACCATCGGCTCTGATTATGTATGTAACGCACGTGACTGTAGCAAAGTTGCTTCTCTTTAAGGTGCACATGTCCCTCTGGTGACTGTAAGCCTTGTGACTCACTGAACATCACACAGAGGTGTGTGTGTGCTCTGTGCACAGTCGACATTTTGATAGATTGCAAACTCATCCTATTTATTTCCGGGATAGTGGCTTGGGCTTCCAACAAAGGGGGCCAGCGCTGCTCTTGTTTTCTGGGTGTTCTCATGTTACATAAGGACATGGTGTCTGTCTCCTGAGGACACTGGGCGTCCCCGTGCTGACCTCCCTATCCCTCTTCTGCAGGTGGTTGCCACAGCAGCCTTAAACCTGTCAGCAGCAGCCCCACCATTGCCATCGCGGCTGCCGCCACAGCCATGGTCTCCATGGACCCTGAGGGACCTGGAGGCCCATCACCATCCAGTGTGCAGCCCTGCCACTTCCTGACGCTGGCACCCATCAAAATACCCCTGCGGACCAGTCCCTTCTCTGGTAAGCACGGCGCACGGTCTCTCAAAGCCTTGAGCTGGTTCCAGAATCCGCAGTCTGGAGAACAAGGCAGGAACGAGTCTGCCTCCAGGTCCTCGGTGTCCTGGGTTCATGTGCTCTGGGGGTCCAGGCCTGGCTCCCGGAGGGACGTTCAGTCGGGTTACACAGGTTTTGCTCATCTTCGAGCTACACAAATGGGCCTTGATTCCATTGCACAAGGTCTTGTTAAGTCAATGCGGGCATTTTCTGCCAGAAAGCAAAGTTTAAAGTTTCTGTCTGAAGAAATGAGACTTCCCTTTACTAACTCTTTAGGGAGGATGAAGCTGTAGCTGATAGTGCAAAGACATCGAGAAGTTTGGACTTTCCTTACATGGAGCGTGGAAGAAAGCAAAGGCAGCGTGCTAGAAAACGGTCAAGCATCTAAGTTAATAAAACACAAAAGAGTACAATGCTCAGACTCACGTGGAGCTCTCACTAAGCCCTCCCACCTGGGCTTGCCAGCTGGGCCCTTTCTGAACACGTGGGGTGGGGTCCTACCCCCCATGGCAGGACCTCTGTGGAAGCCCACTGAAGCGCCGGGCTGAGTAGCAGGGGCATGGATGGCCACAAAGGTGTTTGAGGCCATAAATGCAATGGGTGTGCCCTTCTTCAGAAAAGTCCTCAGGGTCAAGGCAGGGCTGGTAGACCTTTTGATGTCCTGAGTGATGCCGAGATGTGTGACAAGGGGCTCAGGAGGGAGACGGAAGACTCCAGGTTCTGGATTGGTTGTGATTATGTGTTCGCAGCTGTACATGTATGTCCATTACCTGTAACCAGCATGCCATGTGTTCAAGCGCCATCCTTGTGAACCCATGTTTAGGTCCTGTCCTCAAATGTAGCAAGAGCAACATTAATTTGGAATGACATTTAGTAAGTACTCAAATCTTGTGAGCTAGTACTCTTTAGTTTTAGTTTTTCGTGTGATATTGTAACCGAACTTAATGGGTTTGTCTCTTGGTGATTGTGGAGCCGAAAAGCACAACCAAGGCCGAGGCAGGTGAAGAAAAGGTTTATTGCTTGCGCAAGCAATGGAGGATACCGGGGGCAGCTCCCAGCGCAGTGTCTCCTGGAGCTCGGTGCCGGTGGAGACTTTACACACAAGAGAGCAGAGGATAACAGGTTTATTTGTAACAACTGTGTAACAACTGTGCTCATTTAGGGCCCAGGCGTAGCAGGTAAACATGCTATTACATACATCGTATGATCTGAACATAGCTGCTTGGACCCTCCCAGAGGAGGAGAATATAAGATGCTAATGAGTTTAAGGTAACTTTAGGACGCTTGGAGCTGGAACATTTTGCAGGGGTCTTGCTGCAAATGTGTAAGTTTCCCTGCAAGACAGCAACATCTGCAAAACAGGGACATCAATTTCTGTGAAACAGAACACATAGTTTCTTCTGGTCTGAAAAACATTTGAGGGATCATGTTAGCACATGATCACAATACGATCATGGTCACAGTGTGATAAGACTTGAATAGAAATTCTATACTAGAATTAATACTAGAATCCTAGTATTAATATCATTAATTGCTAGATTATCAGTAACAGGAAACATCACTAGAATGTAAGATATATACATGCATATATACATACGTAGAGAGAGAGAGAGCGATGAGTTCATGGTAGAAAGGGAAATAACCTAGTTTCATTACTTTCCAGTTTGGGGAGTGTTTTTGATTTGCTAACCTTGTTTCTGGTAAATCTAATGTGGTCTTCTCAACACTGGACCTTTGGCTTCTGTATTTCTATATTGACTTAATAAATTAGTTGGTCAGTAGAACATTGTATTCTCAAGAACAAAATCTTATTCCTATTGCAGCATGTTAGTGAACATACATTCACGGTGTGATGGGGAAATAAATAAGACACATAGATAATCTCTTGTGTGGAACATAATTTACAGCTGTGTCAAGATTTTGGTTAAAATCCATCAGTCCACTGGCATTTATTAAGGTTGACTTACTATTTTTCAAGAAAATTAATCTTAGAAAGAGCCAAAAACCATGTACCCCAGGGGTGGCTTCACTTTTCACGTCTCTTTTATGATTTATAAAGTGACATAATAATTAGGCATCTTTCCATGTTTGCATTTTATAAGGCTCTATAATCAAATTTGCCATAATGTGCATTCAGTTAGAAAAAGACAAGTGTCAACATTATCTATCTTGTGGATAACCGCCAAAATGGGCTGTCAAAAAGATGAAGGGGCGGGACTCAAAGGTAGCTTCCAAAATTGCCTTTACAGTATTGGCATGGATCCTTTTGATTTTTGCAGTAGAGGTGCCAGGCTGAAGTTGAAATACAGGCAGGGGGCTGGGTCTGGACCAGTGGGCAGCCTCTGAGCTTTTCTGCCAATCAAGGCATCATTGGTGGATGTGGTTCTACGCAGGGATGCCCTTGGTAAATGAGTTCTTTGGGAGATATGACCACCTAGTAACGTTGTCCTGGCTACCTCCTCTTGACTTTAGCAGAAGGTATTTGAGTGAGACTGGCCACGCCCATGATGAAAACCTTTCAAGAATTTCTCGAGTACTTTCTGAAAACCAAGGCTTAAAGGAGACTGAGGGTAGACTGTTTGTCTATCGGGGCTTTTTTTTTTTTTTTTTAACAGTATCAGTAGCCCCACAGAATCAATGAGACTGAAGCGTTGACTGTTCTGATGAGCATTCTTAGTGGAGGTCCACGCATTCTGCTAGGAAATTCCTGACACCCTCCCAAGACAGGTGGACTGGAGCAGGGGACAGGGGTAGGATAAGACAAATGAAAGGCCCGTGGAGGGCTGGGTGGGATGCATGGGGTGGAGGAGATAGAATGGCATCCACAGCAAAACAGGCTTTTACAGATCAAGAAAAGCACACCTCTCTGTGAAGTTTGCTCCATATTCAAATTGATTTTATAAAAGCATATGAACTTGAATTGGTCTACACACACATAATCTTATTTTTATTTAGAAGATAATTAATTCCTATTTTAGACAAATGAGCTAGACTATTTAATTTACAACCTTTGCTTCATGATAAAAGTCAGACAACCTAAGAGGCCCTACGTGGTTTGGCTTTACAGTTCTCAACCAGGGACAGTTTTGCCCCAAGGGGATATTTGGCAACAGGTGGAGACATTTTTTGGGGGGTTGCTACTGGGATCTAGTGGGTAGAGACCGAGGATTCTGCCACACACCCTACACCGCCCAGGACAGCCCACCGTGATAAAGACTTATCTGACCCAAAATGTTTATACTGCCTCTGTCGAGAAATCCTGGTTTATATTCTAGAATTCCACTTAACAAACTAAAAACTGAGATTGGTGTACGTATGAATAAGCTCACGTGGGAGATGGTGGTCCAGGAACTGAAGGACCCTCAAGGAAATAGGCTCGGTGCTGGAAAAAGCAGCCATAAGAGTTACACTTCATTGTATGCCTTTAACGTGATTTCGAGTTTCAAATAAGACACCGTATTTAAAGAACCCACAATCAGTTCCAAATTCAATCAGAAACTGGGTTTTCTCTATCAGAGTGTTGTCGGCACATGCAGAAGGTATTTGAGTCAGACTGGCCATGCCCATGATGAAACCTTTACAGAATTTCCCTTGAGTACTTTCTCAAAACCCAGGCGTGAGGAGACTAGGGTAGACCATTTGTTTACCCAACAAATGGGTAAACAGTATTGGCATGGATCTTCCATGGGACCCGTGCATACCTGGGGTACCCTGTTGGCCTCAGGCTCGCATTGGTCTGTTCACTGGCCTGTCCCCTTCCCGAGCCTCTAAGTCATCTGCTGGCGGGCCTGTGTCTTCCTATCCTCGTCCAGCCTGTGTCAGGCATCCAGGGCACTCTCATTATGTCTGTTGAACTGATGGTTCTACACACTGAATTCTTCAGTGGTTTCCCTGACTTAGTGTCCATTCTGCATATTGTACATGGATAGGTTGAATACAACCTATTCTCCTTATTCACACAATGTCTAATGCTATTTCTCGCATATTTGCCCCTGAATCAGAGGTGAGGTAGGGGGAAGAGTTGGGGGTGCAGAGGGTTTACCTGGAGATATCACTTCCCTTTTCCAGGTGCTGGCAGCCGTGGGCCAGTTAAATGTGAGCTGTGTCAGCTGGGAGCGAGCAGGTGCAGGAGGGAGAGCAGAGGTGGGGCACTGTCTTATTCGTTTCCTTCAACCAGGTTTCAGCTAAATATAGTTTGCCTCATTTCCAACTGTTTCTTTAAATCTTAGAACTTCAGGTTAAAGAAAGAATGCATTTGGGGTAAAAACACATCTTGTATCCTATTTATTGCCTAGTTTTTTTTTTTCTAAGATTTTATTTATTTATTTATTTTTCCCCCAAAGCCCCAGTAGATAGGTGTATGTCATAGTTGCACATCCTTCTAGTTGCTGTATGTGGGACGCGGCCTCAGCATGGCCGGAGAAGCGGTGCGTCGGTGCGCGCCCGGGATCCGAACCCCGGGCCGCCAGCAGTGGAGCGCACGTACTTAACCGCTAAGCCACGGGGCCGGCCCTATTTCTTACTTTTTAAGGAGAACGTGAAGTTTATCAGGGGAGAAGGAAAGAGTGCAGGATTTGTCCGAGAGAACAGAGCTGCTTTCCTGGCTCTCTCTAGGGCTGAATCCTCCTAATCCGCTGCACTCACAACAGCTCCCCTCAAACTTTCTGCCGGAAGTGTGAGGTGGGCGCTCACATTCTAGAGGATAAAAACGCAGCACAACTCCATCGTTGGCCCCTAATAGATGAAATAAATGAAGAGATTCTTTTTCTAAGAATGATGGTAGTTATTTTTAAAACTTCGCCCACCATTTCATAAGCATTCAAATGAAAAAGGTAAAATATGGGTGATGGTTATGATCTCTGGTAGAGCAAATGACTATTGCATACAACTATTAGCAAGTACCATCTGCCCTGAAAACCATTCACCACCTGCTCTTTTGCTTCCAGAACTATTTAATGGTTTAAATT